CCCCCAGGGGGGGGGGGGCAGGGAAGGAGCTCCCAACCCAAGCTGGGACAATTTTTTTTAGAGGCAAAAGCTGGAAATGGGGAGTCCCACCTCCCCTTCCCAAACACCCCAGGTGACAAAGACAGGGCAGGGATGCCCAGAGAGCCCGGAAACCCCCTTGAGCAGTTTGGGGAGGGGATGGATGTGTTGGCTTCAGGCTGCCCAGCAAGGAGGACCAGGGTAGCTGGACATTTTGAGGTGGTTCAAACACACTCAGACACTGAGAAGCAAGGCTGGACATGGACAGGGGGGGGTTGGCAGCTCACCAGTGGTGGGAGGGTGGGTTGTGCTTTCTGGTAAGGGGAGAGAACAGGAGGGAGAGGTGAGTCCCTTTGCTTTTGCGGGGGGTGGGTCAAGGGGGCTTTGAGGGGAAAGCTGGAGCTGTGGGAGGAGGACACAACCCATCCCCACCACCCACCCCCCCACCCTTACCTGTGCAGAGGGTGGCAGGTGAGGGGACGGTGACGTTGCGGGTGCTGACGGGGTTTCGTGCCGTGCACGTGAGGGGTGATGGTTCCCCCGGGGGTGACTCCTCCACCAACACCCTGGCTTCATTTGTCCACAGCTCATCCCCCAAGCTCCAGCTGTAGGAGATGTTCCCAGAGCCAGAGCTGGAGGCCGAGCAGCTCAGGATGTACCTGCAACCGTCAGCCGAGCAGTTCCGCGCCAAGCAGGTCACCCTCGGTACCACCAGCTCCTCTGGGGGAGGAAATGGGGGGGATGTCAGGAAACCCCCAGCCCCCAAATTTAGCACAAAGCATGAGGAAGCCCAACCCAGCCCCAAAAAGCACTTACTGTAGACGTGGAGGGTGAAGGAGACTGTTTTTGTCCCGGAGATCTTTGCCATGTAGGTCCCAGCATCGTCCATCCTCAGCTGGAGGATGGTGAGGGAGCTGCCATTCTTGGAGAAGACCCAGCGTGGCTTGTAGCTGTCATCAAAAAAGGTGGTTTCAGGAGGATCTCCAGGCTTCACAGTCACTATGAGTTCGTTGTGAAAGCTCCAGGCTGCTGGTCTTCTATCCAGGTTCTGGAGATGGAAGGTGACGGAGCTGCCCACGGCTTTGGTCTCCTCTGTCCCTTGGGTGGCACGTGCTGGGGGGAGAGAAGCCAAGCTGAAGGAAAGGTGTCCAAGGAGGGCATGGGTTTGGGGGGGTTGGCTGGTGGAGAAGGAGGGCTTGGAGAAGGGACCTTGGTATATAAAGGAGAGTCTTGGCCAAAAAGAAGAGTCTCACCCCGCTGTGACCACACAGGGTGGTAGGGGAATGGTTGGACTTGAGGACCTTGAGGGTCTTTTCCAACCAGAAGGTCTCTGTGACTCTGTGTGATGCCACAGGTTGGTCTGCAAAGCCCAGACCCTAAGCAGCTCAGTTCAGCTGCAGGTCAAGTCTTAGAATCATGGCCTGGTTTGGGTTGGAGGGACCTTCAAGATTGTCCAGTCCCAAATGGGCAGGGACACCTCCCACCAGCCCAGGCTGCTCCAAGCCCCATCCAACCTGCCCTTCAACACCCCCAGGGATGGAGCAGCCACAGCTTCCCTGGGCAACCTGTTCCAAGGTCTCCCCAACTTCATAGCCAACAATTTCTCCCTTCCATCTGGTCTGAATCTCCCCTCTTTTGGTTTCAAACCATCACCCCTTGTCCTCTCCCCACAGGCCCTGTTAAAAACTCCATCCCCACCTTTCCAACCAGCATTGAGAGGTCTCTGATTTTGGGCTGGGAGATTTCAAGAATCAGGGGGGGCTCCTTTTTCTTTGGAACAAACTCTGAGGCCCTGGGCTGAGGTCCCACGAGAGGACTTTTGCTTTCCCACCCCCTGAGGGCTCCTCAAGCTGGTGGCACCAGGTCCCCCTTGCACTGCCAGGTCACCCACGTTGCTCCCCGTTTCCGAGAAGGGGGTTCAAAGAGAAGCAGAGCCTGGAGGTGCAAAAATGAAACTGCCAAGAGGAGTTTGCAGCAGCTCAGAAAGGTCAGGCAGGTCCCCTTCTCAGCAGCAGGACAGAAAAGGTCAAGGTCAACTCCACCAAGCAGCAAGAACAAGGGATGGTGTCTCTTCTCCAGACATGCAGCTGCTTCTCCCCTCTTCTGAGAAGGAGGAAGAGATTTCCTCTCCCCTTTTTGGCTACTTCTCATTTTGAAATAAAAGAAACTCAGACAATCTGTGCTGCCCAGTCTGGGTTGGACACAAAGGTTCTCTGCCCAGTTCCTGAAATGGGAACTGCTCCTGGTTCAGCCAGGTCCCTAAGGTTGTCACCTCTCCTTGGGATGCATTTCTGGTCCCTGGCCCCTCAGGGACAGCAAGGACAGGCATATCCTGACCCCAGGGCAGGAAAAAATGGTCTGGGAGATAAAGCTGAGGGAGGAAATTCTGCTGAAATTGCAGGAAAGGAGGTTGGGAGGGGAGCAGAAGCTTCTGTCCCTCATGACAAGAAAGACATTCAGGGGCTGGAGCTCATCCAGAGAAGGGCAATGAAGCTGAGGAAAGGGCTGGAGAAGAAGGAGAAGGGGCTGTAGAACAAGGGGAAGGGGCTGGAGAACAAGGGGAAGGGGCTGGAGAACAAGGGGAAGGGGCTGGAGAAGAAGGAGAAGGGGCTGGAGAACATGGGGAAGGGGCTGGAGAACAAGGGGAAGGGGCTGGAGAACAAGGGGAAGGGGCTGGAAAACAAGGGGAAGGGTCTCGAGAACTTCCAAGGAGCAGCTGAGGGAGCTGGGGGTGTCCAGCCTGGAGAGCAGGAGGTGAGGGGAGACCTGCTGGCTCTGCAGCTGCTGAGAGGAGGTTGGAGCCAGGGGGGTCGGGCTCTACTCCCCAGGAACAAGGGATGGGACAAGAGGAAAGGGCCTCAAGTTGCCCAGGGGAGGTTGAGGTTGGATCCTGGGAACAATTCCTTCCTGGGAAGGGTTGTCAGGGCCTGGCCCAGGCTGCCCAGGGGGGAGTCCCCATCCCTGGAGGGGTTTCCAAGCCCTGGAGATGGTGCTGAGGGACATGGGTTAACATCAGACTCAGGAGAGTTGGGTTATGGGTTGGACTGGATGATCTCCAGGGTCTTGGCTACCCAGAACTGCTCTGTGGTTCTGCAAACAGAGGCAGAAAGTGTCTCCTGCTCCAACCAGCCCTAAACACCCCACAAGGAACCCTCAGGAGCAGAGACAACCCATGGGGGGACAGACCCTGGACATGGAGCTGAAGAGCAACCTCAACCAGCAGCAAAGATCTGGCAGGAGATCTGGATGGAGACTGAGCCAGAGCTGAGACCTGATGCTTTCACTCATGAGCAGAGAGGAACCACGTGAGAATGCGGGACCAGCACTGGTTTCTTCTGGGCATTTTCCACCCTGCTTGGACCAAGTCCATCCCCATGGAGCTTCACCTGCACTGCTGGTCCCTCCTCATTTCAGCCCTGTCTTCACTCTCCTGTTGGTCCCTAAAACCCCAAGGTGGGTTCCTACCCTCCCAGCACTGAGGAGAAAAAGAGCATCTTGCACTTACTTGCCTGGTGGAGGAGGACAAGCTGCAGGCACCAAAGCAGGTCCATGGGGGGGGTTGCAGGAGGCTTTTCTCACACCCAGCATCTGCTGTGGGTTGTGCTAGCAGGAAGAAGGGCTGTGGTAGCAGCACACAAAGAGTTGCTCTTTCCTTTCCCCATCTCTAGTGGGTGGGGACAATGAGCTGAGGGAGGTGCCACCTCAGCAGTGACATCTGGGGGGATGAGCAGGTGGAGGAGAAGGGAAATCATCTCCCATGCCCAAGGAAAACATGAGCTGGAAGGAAAACAACCAAAACCCTCCATTTCCAAGAAAAAAAATAAAAATGGGCAGAGCAGCTGGGACCAAGAACATTGTGGTGGCCACGGGTGACAAGTGGGAACCACGTCCACAGTGGGAACCAGCCCTGAGAGAAGGGGGAGTCATGGAGACCACACTGATGGTGCCCGTGGGTGTCACCAGGGCATCTTTGGGAAGGGCCATGAGGTTCCAAAATCTCCAGGGCTCCAGACTGTCCCACCCCCCACCCCTGGAGCAGGGACAGCTGAAGGACAAATGTAGGAAAGGAGCTGGTTCCTTATTTCAGATTACTCAGGGTAGTGGTGTGACCCTGTCGTCATCATGAGATGCAGGTGGGGGAAGAGCTCAGGAGCAGCTGGGGACCTTGGGCTTGAAAGGACCCCCAGTTCCTCCAGCCCAGTGAAGGTTGGGGCTTGGAAAGAGCCCCAGTTCCTCCAGCCCAGTGAAGGTTGGGGGCTCCTCAGGGTTGTAAAATGAGCTCCAGCAGCTCCACAAGCCCTGAGTTGCTCAATCCCAACGTACCAACGAAGCTGATGAGCCTAAAAATGGGTTCTCTCTTTCACAACATCCTGGTTGGGAGGGGATGAGAGACACCAAGAGCCACACAAGGGGAACAAGCCACCCCATAACCTCCCTGGGCTCCTTCAGTCTTCATTGTGGAGCTGGGGGGGTTTTGTGGCTTCGTGGCTCAGAGCTCCTCTGCAAAGGTCTTCTTAGCAGTATTTTTTTTACTTGAACTCTTCCCCAAGTGGAGCATCTGACACCCCCTCCCAGCCACGGGGTGGCACCATCACTGGTCATGCTGGGGTGACACATCTCAGGGTGACCCATCACTCTGCAAGGACCAACCAGGCTCAGCTGGTTGAGCCGACCACAAACCAAGAGCCAGGCAGAGAGTCTGGGGCTTTTGCATCAGTTGAACCATAGAAACCCACCCTGGTTTGAGTTGGTGGGACCTGAAAGATCATCTAGATCCCACCCCCTGCACGGGCAGGGACACCTCCCACCAGCCCAGGTTGCTCCAAGCCCCATCCAACCTCCCTTTGAACATCTCCAGGGATGGAGCAGCCACCTTCAAGATCATCTAGTGGATCATCTGGGTGGTCTTTAAGGTCCCTTCCAACCCAAACCATCCCATGATCTAAAGACCATCCAGTCCCACCCCACCATGGGCAGGGACACCTCCCAGCAGCCCAGGCTGCTCCAAGCCCCATCCAACCTGCCCTTCAACACCCCCAGGGATGGGGCAGCCACAGCTTCCCTGGCCAACCTGGCCCAGGCTCTCCCCACCCTCACACTCCACAATTTCCTCCTCATGTCTCACCTCAATCTCCCCTCCTCCAGTTTTCATCCATCCCCCTTGTCCTCTCCCTCCCTGCCC